CCAAATATCTGAATACGTTCACCTCCTCCATACTCTCTCCCTCCAATCTGATATTCAATCTTTCATCACCTAATCTTTTGTTATCCTCATAACCTTACTCTTTCCTGTATTCACCTTTAATTTTCTTTTTTTTGCACCCCCTACCAAATTGCACACCCTACCATATAATATATAATATATAAATATATTTAAAATTTTTTTTTTTTTTTTTTTTTTTTTTTAAAACAAGGGGCCGTCTCCCACCGGGGCAGGGTGACCCAAAAAAAAAGAAAATCCCAAAAAAAGAAAATACTTTCATATCTTTCAACACTTTCACCAACTCGCCATTATAAATGTTTTTGCAGAGGTGCTCATAAAAAACATCTAGAAGCAACAATAAAAAAGTCCCAAAAAATTTCCCCCCAAACTGCCAATACCCAAACCCCCCCCTTTTAAAGTGAGGCATTGTCTTCCCATTTCCAGACTCAAGTCCATATATGAAAAAACCGGTTTCCCGAACCCCTTTACTAAATATTTTCCCCGCTCACACTCCAAAAGATCGTAGGTCCCAAGTACCCTTGTCTCCATTCACTCCATTAACACGCCACGCACCCCTTGCTGGAATCCAAGCCCCCTTTCCCACAAAACCTCCTTTACCCCCTCTCTCCAACCCCTTTTGAGGACACCCCTACCCCGCCCTTTCCTTCCCCATAGATTTATACTTTCCAGTCATTTTTACTGTGATCCATTCTCTCTAAATGAAAACCAAAACCCCTCAACAACCCCCCTCTTCTGCCCTTACTAATACTTTTATTAACTCCACACCTTCTCCTAATTTTTTCCCCACTCCAATTTTTTTTCATAATATTTACACCAACTTGCCCCTTAGACAGGAACCCGCTGCCCCCAACCGTCTCCCCTTCTGCGAATTACCACCCCAAACTTCACACCCAATTTAAGTGTTGGGACTACATACTTTCATAATTCCCCCCTTTTCCTCCATAATAACTTTTTTTTTCTCCACATATACCTAAAAACCCCCATACCTTTTTTTTCCCCCATCAATTCTATGATTTTTAACCTCTCCTTCATAAATCCACCCCCGGGACCCCCTTTCAACTCCCAAGTATCGGGAAAACATTCACTTCTTCCATTTCCTCCCCCCCAAATTTTTGAAAAAAATTTTTTTTCTTTTTTTAAAAATTTCATTTGCACCCCCTTCCCCTTCCCTTTTTTCCCTATTTCACTTTAAACTTTCTACTTTACACACATTTTTCCCAAACTCATCCACTAAAACCTTTTTCCCAATTTTTTTTTTAGAATCTCCCATAAGCCCCAGTTCATCAGGCCCAAAAAATAACTGTGTCAATTCCCTTTTTAAAATTTTATTCCCCATTTAATTTTTAATTTCCCCCCCCTCTCCCCCAAAACCCTAGCAAATTTTCTTCCCTTTAAAAACCCCCTCTATAAAAATATATTAAACAACCTTTGGTTTACATTACAATCCCCGTCCCAAGACCTACTTTTACCGGGAAAGGAAATTTCCCCCCTCCCCTTTTTACACACCCTAAACCCGAGCCCACTATCCTCATAAAAAATCTTTACAGCAAAATTTTAAAAACTTACCCCCCTATTCCCCTTTTACTTGCAACATCTGCCCATTGCTCCTCTACCCCCTCTATCATATGCCTTTTCTAAAAAAAAAATAAAAGCAATAAAAACCTCCCTATCTTTATCTAAAAACGGGTTTACCCTAATTGGGTTCAAAGTAAAAAACCTGGGTCTTTAAAATCCCCTACCCACCAAAACCCCCCTTGTCAAACCGCAATTCCCAAAATTCTGTCCCTTTCCTCTAAATTTTTTCCCCCTTTTTAAACCCCACCGTTAAAACTTTTCTGGTATACTCTTTAAACTTAATTTCCCCTGTAAAAATTTTTTCAGTTTTCTTTTGTCCCCTTTTCCCCTTATATAAAGGGGGAAAAAAAAAAATTTTACATGCTCCCCCTGCCAATCCCAGGTACCTTCCCCCCTTTTTATACATTTATTTTAAAAAAAATTTCCAACCCACTCCAAAAACTATATCCCCCCCGCCCTTTTAAAATTTCTGTCTTGATCCCTCAGGCCAACCCCCGCTTTACCCCCTTTCATTTTAAATAATGCCCCCACGTACCTCCCCCACACTTACATTCTGCTCTTCTTCACTCCTAAAAGATGGTATACCTCCCTGACCAGTGCATATATATATATATATATAATATATATATATAATAAAATATATATAATATATTATATATATATATATATGTATGTCGTGCCGAATAGGCAGAACTTGCGATCTTGGCTTAAATAGCAACGCTCATCTTGCCATATAGGACGACCGGAAATTTGTGTATGCAATAATTTCGCCAAAATCTTTCTGAACCCTAACTAAAAATATATATTTCACGTGTTTTTTAGTATTAAATTAATTGTAAACAAATCTAAAATATATTTAGTTGGGTTAGGCTAAAATAAATTGTTCTTGTTATAATAAGGTTAGGTAAGTTTTCTAAGGTTCTTTTCGTGCAAAATTAAAATTTTTTTTACATTAACTTAATGTAAAAAATATATCTTTAAAAACGTATAAGAGAAAATTTCAGAAAGGATTTAAATTTTTAAATGAGTTCTTGCTAACTGACCAGTTTTACATATTTGGCACGACATATATATATATATATATATAATATATATATATATAAAATATATATTATATATATAATATATATATTATATATAATATATATATATATATATATATATATATATATAAAATATATATATATATAATATATATATATATATTAATATGCAAACAATCGCAGACAGGCAATTTTAACTATGCAAGACAAGCCACAGGAAGGGGGTGGGTGGAAATCTTTAGCTCAAGTACTTTCACACTTCTCAGTGCATCATCAGGAGCTGTGCAGTGTTGCAAGGGAGCAACCAAAGCAGAGAGAGAGGTCTCAGGTGATATCAGAATATGCAAAACAACCACTGTGAAAGAATAGTGAAATTCCAAGTGCTTTCATGACTTCTCACATTATCAAGTTCCTTGATAATGTGAGAAGTCACGAAAGCACTTGGAATTTTACTATTTCGCAGTGGGTATTTGGCCAGCTACAGCAAACCTCAATTCTTCTGTTTGGGGAACATGAAATTCTCTCGTTAGAGGGTGTTCAGCAGGGTGACCCACTCACTCCACTTCTCATCTGCTTGGCAGTAAGAGAATTAACTTCCAGCCTACGTAGTGAGGTCAACATCTGGTACCTGGATGATGGCACTCTGGCAGGTACTGAAGAGTCCCTGTTAGAGGACCTACAACTGGTGAAAACACAGGGAGTAGACTTGTATTACAACCCAGGAATCCAAAGGCCTGTTATCCTGGGAATAACGGGAGCAAAATAAACACAGCAGAAAAACTTTTCACTTATATTATCCTTCACCAAGTAAGAACAGAATTATGTTCACTATATACACTATGTACAACAATAGGTATTAGTGCACTCCACGGTAAGCAAGGCAGAATAGAAGCCACTAGAGAGCAGACCTTGCTTCAACCAGCTCTAGAAAGGGAATGACAAGGGCAGACAGGTGTGTGGTACCCACAACACCTCTGCAATTGCCAAAACCATCTTCTCATGGGCTGGAACCTGGGTACTGATCGAACGACGGGGCCCCATCGTCGACCCTAGTACTGGTTCGCTGGGTGTGTACATGCGCCGAATAAAGGTTACATACTCTTTGCATGCCACACCCCCACTCCGAGAGGGTTTAGGAATAGGCTCCCACCTCCCATTGGTAACTGTGCCATCATGGCACCATATAATAGGACCACCTTTCCTCTCAACCATCCAACTCTTAGATAGAGCTCAGCTTTATTTGCAACATAAAGCCAAACTCTAAACTCAGAGTGAGACAGCAGACAGTAGGACTAACATAAGTCCAAGACACTGGTAGACGGTAGCCCATGTCCCCTCACTAAAAAAAAAAAACCCATACAAGGGGACAAAAAAAAAAAAAGAGCGTGCGGGTTACCATAGGTCCCTAACACATCCTAACCTAATATATACAATTTTTAGACTTTAGATAGGGAGTCTGCCAACTTATTTTCTTTGCCGGCAATGTGTAATATTTTGAGAGAATAGAATTGCAGTCGTAGACTTCATCTCATGAGCCTCATATTGTGATTCTTCATGGCTTGGAGATATACCAGAGGGTTGTGGTCACTATAGACAGTGACAACCTGTGAAGTCTGGCCCACGTAAACATCAAAGTGCTCCAAAGCCAGTACCAGCTCGAGGGCTTCTTTTTCAATGGTAGAGTAAGCCCTCTGGGGTGGCGGAACTTTGATGAGTAAATGCTACAGCTGCAACCCCTCGTCCCCGTTTTCATCATACTGCCCAACCCCAGACTCACAACATCAAACCGTAATGAGAAAGGT